GAGACTCTGTTTAAAAAAAAAAGAGAGAGAAAGAAAATGCCTTCATATTTAGGAAATGCATACCATAATGTAAGCACCTTACTTTCAAATGGAAAAAATACATACATACAGATATATTAATAGATAGAATGTATGCAAATGACAAGGCATAAGTGACAAAATGTTAGCAGTAGGTGACTGTTGGTAAAAGGTACACAGGTATTCCTTATGCTATCCTTGCAACTTTTTGGCAAATTTGAAGTTATGTCTAAATAGAGAGTGAGAAACAACAACCCTCCTTGCTGAGCTGCTTAGGGTGCTGTTGGGAGGAGCCCCCACCCGCCGGCAACAGGCACAGCAGCGCCGGTGAGCGTGGGCAGGCGCCCGGCAGGCCTGTGGCTTGTCCTCTGTTGGGCCGTGCTGCTGCCCCGTCGTCCTGGGGCTCAAGAGGTTTCCAGCAGGTCGTTATTCCAGACCCAAAGCCACGGGGACTACAAGGACTCCACACTCTCTCCTGCTTGTCCCACGAAGTAGCACATGGGGATAATGACATTTTAGAACAAATCCCACCCACCTTGGGGGGGGGTGTGACACTCCCCGGCATTGAATCCCCGTGTGGGGTCGTGCTGTGGCTCTTCTGGCTATGCACCTGGAAAACAGAGACTAGTCTTTCTGCCGTGAGCAGTTGGTCACCAGCGGCCTCTGAAGCATCGTTACGAGCACACACAGGAGTGGAACGTGTCCTGCTGCGTGTCCTGCCCACCCCCACCCCTCACAGGCTGCGCTCTTCAGTTGCCGTTTGAAACAGTAGCAGCCATTGTGCGAGCTGTTGTTGGTGCAGGAGACTCAGGGACTTGAACTTGGAGTCCCTGCCTCCTCCAGGCTGCACCCACCCCAGGGCCGCCCCAGGAGAGCGCTTGGGGAAGGGGCTTTCCTCTGGGTGGGGGTGGTGGGGAGCCTTTACCGTGCATGGGGGTCTTAGGGGCTGGGGCTGAAATAGCCAGAGCAAGAGGCCCAGTCCCCGTAAGAGCCACTTCCGTTTTGTTTCTGATGACCGAGGAGTCAGGCGGGGCTCTGCGGGGCGGCAGTGGGAAGGGACCTCTGTGCCCTGCCCCAAGGCCTCAGCCAGCCAGGCGCCAGGGTGCAAGGAATGCCTCCCCTGCCCTGTCCACCCACTGCCCTTCATGGACCTCATGTGGTCACTAGTCTCCAAAGACTGTCCCTGTGATCTCGGCCGCCCCATCCTGTGCTAACGCTCGGCTGGCCCGGTGTCTCCAGAGTGTGGTAGAAGGCTAGGCTAGACAAAAGCCTTGCAGCTTCTGCCTGAGTCTCCTGGAGTGCTCGTGCTTGGGACAGTCCCTTTGGAACCCAGCCGCTATGCTGCAGAAGTCAGAGCCTGTTCAGCACGGGTTGCCTGCGTGCGCGTGAAGGAGCCTGCTTGGACGCCCAGCCCTGTCAGGGCTTTCTCTGGCTCCAGCCCCAGCCACCATCTGACCACAACGACATGAGAGACCACAAGCAAGGGCCCAGCCGAGCCCAGGCAACTCACAGAAGCTTGAGGAAGAATGATAAATTGCTGCTCAAAGCCACTGACTTCGGGGGTGGTTTGTTGCACGGCAGTGGGTATCTAGAACTGAGCGTGTGTGGCCAGATGACCCAAGTACGAGACTAGAGCCGGAGCAGTAGACTGGTTCCTACCCTGTTTGGGTTCTGACTGTAACCCTGGCCGTTTGTGCCGAGCTCTCAGCCTGCACAGAGCCCAGCTGGGGGAGGATAGCAGGGGTAGGTGACCCAATGTGGTCTAACTCAGGCTGCAGGAGCTGACAAGCCCAGCAGTGAGGGAGGGGCAAGTTGATGCATGAGTACTTGCATTAATCTCGGAGGGACAAGCCAGTGGGAGCCTGCGCTTTGTCACTAGAATGCGAGCCCGCAGAGCTAGGGCTTTCTCTCCGTATCTATGCACCCTCCAAAGCTTGGCACTTGCCAGGCACACGTAGTTCCTCTGCATTGGGTTACTGATTCAAGAGACTGGGTCTCCAGGACCCAGGGATGGGGGTGGCGGGCAGGCCTCCTGGTCCTGAGGCTCTGTTGAGGGCCCTGCAGTGTAGGCCAGGCCAGGCTCCCTGCTGCGACTGCTGCCTTTCCCTGTCGCTCAAATGCCCAGGACAGGCCGGGGTTCCCCAGAGAGAGTGCTTATGCCATGGCCCCCGGCCTCCGGGAGCACTCACCGTTGACACGGCGGGTGGTTGGCAGAACTCACACAGTCGGCGCTGCCCAGAACGCCACCAGCAAAGACAGAGCAGGATTCCAAGGAGCTGCCAGCCCATTCAGTGAGAGGAGGAGTAGGTGGGTTTGTTGAAAATACTCCCATTACAGTCAGTTAACCTTTATGTTCCCTAAATGAAAATTGTATAAACCTGAAATTTTCGTTGATCAGGTTGCCTAGGAACAGGCGGCAGGTTTTCATAAGACAATGCAATAGATTGTCACCGATAGGGCTATTAGGAAGTGAGCTGGTTAGCGGTATTATTCCCCATCCTGGTGTTGGCGTTAGGTAATTATCTGTCTGCCTGTGCGGGGCACGCCCATTTCACGGCTCGGGGCAGGTTCATGCAAATGAGCTTTCTCGCTTGCTTCTCTGGAGTCCCCGGAGGCGGTTGTCACCCCTGGGCTTATGAGAGAAACCTAAAAGGCTCAATTTGGATGAATTTATTTCTTTTTAATCACCTTTTCCTCCTACTTGCAATGATAATATCCTAATACTTCTAATATCAGTGACAATCTATTGCTTTGTTTTATGAAAACCTGCTGCCTGTTCCTAGCAAAAAACTTGGGAAACAAACAATAGCAAATGCACAATAGAAATTAAAAAGCAAAGTTGATCTAAGACAACTCTGATATATCTTTTTAATATTTTCCCCCTATATAACATATACATTTATGTTTATGTTTATTTTCCCAAAAGTCACTGTAATTTGCTTTTTTCCCCCCTCTTACAGTTGACCAAGCGCCCTGGTTTGCCTGGGACTGAGGGTTTTTCCAATCCCAGTGCATATTATTATCACCATGCTTTTCTTTTCTATGGTTGCCTAGCATTCAACCAGTGTGGATAAACCAAACTCAGCTTAACCAATCCTCCTTTATTGAATATTTAGGGTATATCTTTAAAAAAAAAAAAAGCTATAATTAATGCTTGTAGTGAATAGCTTATCCATATGCCCTGTAGGATAAATTCCTAGAGGTAAGGTTATTAGGTGGTTGTGTACATTTATGGCTTTTGATACATTGTCAGACTGCCCTCCAGAAAAAATACGTGCCAGTTTCCACACGTCTTTTCCATACTCTCAGGAACCCTTACATCAAACAATCTTTTCATCACTGCCAATACAGTATGCAAAAAAATATATCTCACTTTTGGGATATGTGCTGCTTTCGTAGCTGTTTGTGAATTGTCCATGTCTTCTCATTTCTTTTGGGGGGATGTTCATTTTCCTTTTATTCTATGAAAACTCTTTGTAGGAAGCATTATGAGTCATGAATGTTGGACCATTTTGTCCATTTGCTAAGGCAGTTGTGGTTATTATTCTCGAAAGAGGAAAAAGAATACCTGTCGTCTGGTGCCTTGCAAGAAAGAGGAGTTACATTTTAAGTAATTAAAGCATCCCCCTAACCTTAAGCACTAAAATGTTTTTGGATTGAAGTGTATGGGATGAGTGTATCCCTACAATGAGTAACCCATGTAGGTCCCTTTTTAAATAATGCATACTGCACACAATTTAACTTTTTCTTGATGTCTCAGGCACTGTGAACAACAGTAATTTTCCGTGTTACAGTGATACCCTCAGCAGCTGCTGTGCCACGTGAAGGTTTTGCTCTTACACCATCTGGCCCAGACTGCTTTTTAAATAAGATACCTGATTCTTGTCTTTTTTCCGTCCCTGTCAGACTGCCGTGCTGTTACTTTTGGCTGCTATAAGCATCCTTGCCTTACTGTACAGTATCACAATTTCATCAGCAGTGGGATTGATGACCAGCTAACAGAATGCTTGTTAAATTTCTCTGTAAACTAAAAGCAAGTAAGTACTGAGCACGAGCTGAAGGCTCTCCATTAAAACAGTGGAGAGCAGCTTCTGCAGGCTACATTTTCTACTTATTTCCCGAGATTTGCATTTCATGTAGTTAAGGTTGTTAAATAAGCGACCTCTGGGTGTGCAAGTGGAATAGGATTAAGAAATTTTAGAGTCAGAAGGGGAGCGGAAAAGGAAAGATTAGCAACCACTTGAAGATGTAGCTGCAAAAATGAGAAACCAGTAATCCAGATGAGCAGAATCAGTGTTTAATCTTGTTACTTTTCTCGGGAGTTTGGTGGCACAGGTTTTGTGGAAGTGGTGGCATCGCTGACCTAGAAATTTTAAAAGATCCGGCGTGTAGGCCTGCACCTGCTGGGGATGGTTTTCACCGTGTTAACACAAGCCTTCTGATGCTCAGTTTTCTCATCTGTGAAATGGAGCTAAGTGGCCTATTTAATAAGAGTTAGAATCAGACGTGCTGATGTGAAGAGCACCAGCCTAAAGGAACGTCAGAGGAATTTGTAAGCATTTGAAGGGCCAGTCATGAGGGATTATTATTATTGCTGCTGTTGTTGTTATTCACAGACACATCCATCAACCGTCGTCTGTCTCCTTAACTATCTCACCTTTTGCACGCGCTTCAGCCTCAACTTCAGCCCGTGTGTGTGTGTGTGTGTGTGTGTGTGTGTGTGTGTGTGTAACTCTAGCTCATGTCCTTGCCGCCCCTCCAGAACCCAGTTTCATCCTTGTAGGTTTTTCCGAAGCAGGATTTGCACAAGTGGCGTGTTTTCTTAAATATTTATTTTGCAGGCCATTTACTCGGCACGGCTATTTTTACAGGGAGTAAGGAGCGAGGCTAAAAATAACTTAGCTCGTAACCAGATCGGTTCTGCATTTGACATTTACGTGGAATTCATTTGCATCTCATTTGTTCGCCTTTCTGTTTAACAGGTAGAATGTAAGAAAGCTCAGCCGAAAGAAGTCATGTTCCCACCTGGGACGAGAGGCCGGGCCCGGGGGCTGCCTTACACCATGGATGCGTTCATGCTGGGCATGGGGATGCTGGGTGAGTCTGGACTGGGACAGTGGGGTCACCATGGACTTGGGAGCAGGGTCACCTACCACGGGAGCAGAGTGCTTTTGCTTGTTCAGGCCTCAGTTTCCGCATCTGTAGATGGGGATGGTAATTCCCTTCTGAGATCATTGCGGTGATTAAGTGAATATCTTGCCCTGTGCCTAGCTCCTAGGATACTTGATACTAGTTTCTCTCTTTTCTGTCTCCTTCCTCAAAAGGAAGAAAAAATCTCTCCCTCTTGCCCCAGCTGAGCAGGAGTTCTGAAGACCTGAGAACTCCTGGCTGGCTTAACTTGTGTGGGCTAAGGCGATGTTTTCTAAAACTTGAGAGAGAGGAAGGGGAAGTGGTAAGGGTGGGTGATAATCCTGTCTATTTAAATGATTAACATTTTTCTCTTGGGATATCAAAATTTGCATTTAAATGGATGTTTTAAATAGCCTGTTTTACTCTTTATTTGCCAAAAAAAAAAAAATGATGAAAGACAAAGTGTGTTTGTTCTGACTAAAAATGATTTCTCCTGGCTTTTAGAGAAATTGAGTTGCATATTATGCCCCTTTCCTTAAAGGTATCTCTGTCCTTCCTGCGTAGATAATTGAAAATCTTACCGCTTAAATGGCATGAAAGATGGAGAAAGCAGTGGAGATGCGTAATAGTGTGGGTCGCAACAATAATTAGAAATTTAAAGGCGAGAGAACGGTATTTGAGTGCAAGTTATTGTGTGTCAGGAAAATACTAATTAAATGGGATAAATGGTAGTTAATGGTAAAATTCCATTCAGGCACATGAGCTGTCTAGTTTTAATGGGTTTTCATTTGGTTTGGCTGAGAGCCCCTCTTCTATATTGTTTGATAAGCCCTTTCTGCATTTTCAGATTTGCTGCTGTTGAAATCATTCCTGGCATAGTTTTAAATTTTTATAAAACTTTTTTTGATCTTACGAAGAATTGTACCTTCTTGTCGGAAGAAATAACAAGAGCAGCTAAAGCTATTTTGAGGACCTTTATAAAATGGAGAGAGATACCATGAGAATATTAAAAATGGCCAAGATATTAATTTTTCTCAAATTAAATTTTTAGGTTTAACAGAATTTCAAAGAAAAATCATATCATAGTTCTTTAAAAGTTGGCCAGATGATTCTAAAACTTACCTGGTAGAAGACTTAGGTGAGAATAAATAAGAAAATGTTTTTAAAAAGAAAAATGAGAAAATACTAGTTTGACCAATATCAGAATGTAACACAAAGGTACAGTAATTAAAACAGTATGGTATACAGGAATGCACTTATTAATAGAAAAAGTCAAACAGCCTAAACTAAATATATATATTTATAAGAGTATAATTATTATTAAAAATTTATTTTAAAAAAATCAGTAAGAATTATTTCCTGGTTGACTATAAGATAATTGCTTAACTCTTGCTTTAAAAAATACTTTTCATTTGGTCTTTACCCTATATTGTTTTTCCAGGAAACTCCAAATTAATACTTTAAAATATTGAAATCAAGCCTTAAAGAAAAAAGCTGAGCCAGGCACGGTGCGTACCTGTAGTCCCAGCTACTCAGCGCTAAGTTTAGCATCAATATGGTGACCTCCCAGGCCCGGGGTACCACCAGGTTGCCTAAGGAAGGGTGAACCTGCCCAGGTTGGAAACAGAGCAGGTCAAAACTCCTGTGCTGATCAGTAGTGGGATGGCACCTGTGAATAACCCCTGCACTCCAGCCTGGGCAACATAGCAAGACCCCATCTCTGAAAAAAAAATAATAAGAAAAGAAGAAAAAAAGTTGAACCCATTACCACTTGCTGGCTTTTAGAGTCTTGAATTTAAAATGAGTGTAGAATTCTAGAGAATAAAATGGGAGACTTTTTAGGATCCAGATCTTCAGGAAGTCTAACTTGATACATGCATGCTAGGAAGAATGAACTGGTTTTCATCAGGAAGAAGCAGAGGTGTGCAGTGGATCCAGCTCAGCTCATGTCAGTTAACAAAGAGCAAAGGTGCACTGTGCTCAGTGTTCCTGACTCTGAAAAGGGCTCAGGCGACATCTCCATAGAAACCAAGGCTTGCGTCCCTGAACAGAAAGGCACCCGTGATTTTATAATGGGAGCCCAGGCAGGGAGGAGGGCAGGAGGCATTCATCAGCAAATAGTCTTTGAGCACCTACTGCATACCCAGCCCTGGGCTAGCCCTGGGACGCAGTTTAAAAGCAGGCATGATTCCTGCCCTCATGGAGCTTGTGGTCTAGCGGGAGAGACCCACATATATCAGCTAACCGCACAGATAACTTCATTCATCGTAATAGAGTCTCCGGGTGCTTCGGGAGCACTCAGTGGGGACTGGAAGCCAGTGTGAGGAATCAGGGAAGTGGCCTCTCAGTCGGGTGAGAAGGATGAGTGAGCCACCGGCTTTCCAACTGGAAGGAACAGCCTTGAAATGCCAGCACCCTACCATGAGACCCCAGGAGCCGACTGGCGTGGCCAGATGTGTGAGCAAGTATGGGGAGAGGTGGGCAGACTCGAGTGGCCCCTTCCTGGGAGCACCTGCAGGGGGTCCCTGTGCTTTCCCAGACTCCATCCACTCCATGCCTTGCCTGCTCACGGAGGAATGGCTGTGTCACGCCTGTCCGAGGCGTCCTCGCCTGCCCCGGCTCTTCCCCCGTGTCTCACGTTCAAGTTAGGACTTCCCCGAGCCACAGTGAAGTGGGCATCTGACACAACCCTCCCCCTGCCGCCACCACCACCGGCCCTATCCAGCCCAACCCCAGGTCACAGAGGCACTGACGTGTGCCAGCAAGATACGGCAGCATGTACTCAAACTGGGAGCTGTTATTAATAACTCGCCAGGAGCCCTGGGAAAATGGTCACCCTATACATGTCCAACACCTTAACCCCTGGCGTTCCTTACTGCCCATGGCTGAGGACCTAGCTAGACCCACAGATGCAGCAGGTGCTGTGGCAACTGGATTCTTGAGTTGCCACCTTCTGATGAAGATCCACAAGCTGGACTCAAGGCCCATCATCCCCCAGCCCCATGGGGAGGCACCCACACGCCTGCCAAGCAGGGTCTCCTAAGAGGCCCTGAGTGTGCCCCCCAGCCAGTAATCAGCTCTGCCTGAGGTCTGGGCAGAAGGATGCACCGGGCACAGCATGCAGGGAATGAGCTCACAGGCTGCTCGGCCTGTTGCCTCCCCAGCCGGGCCGGAGTCTCCTGCGGAGCCTTCTCTAAGGCCCGGCTGGAAGCTCCCTGGGCTGCCCTCCGCTCCACCGGTCGGCACAGCTTGGCATCTTGGGCCCCTGGACGCTCCGGATGAGGAGCCTGCCATGTGCTGTGCTGTGACTCAAGCCCTCACCTCCCTCATCAAAGACTGTTTCTCTCTTTCTTCGTGCTTCCTCCCTTTGAAGTGGAGTGTGGCGTCGGGCAGAGCAGTGCTTTGGTGGGATGGCCTGACGTGCCCCCAGCAGTCACATAGGGCACTGTCTCCGTGGGGCGCTGAGCCCGCCTGCTACTCCTGGAATCGCTGCCATTGCCACCAACAACAATTTGGCTGATGAACTTGGCTCATGCAGAAAAACATTTTTAAAAATTCATGAATGAATGGAATGAGATGAGGTTTCGGTGATTTAAACTTTTATTGTTGGAAGAGCAGAAAAAATAGATGGCACTTCTAGGGATTTTTTTTTTTAGAAGTGAGACTATAAACCATTATAATGTGAAGATTCATTCATTCAGCAAATACTATTGAGTACCTGCTACGTGCCAGCCACCGTTCTGTTCGCTAAAGATGCAACAGAGAACAAAGCCTCTGATTTCAGGGAGCTGATATTCTAGTGGGTGATCTGAGACAACCAACAAAGGACTTGGACACTGTGGAACGAATTTCTAAATATCCTTTAAGACCGTCTCCATGCTTTGGGAGGCCTCATCAAAGGGGGGCTGATGAGCATATAGTTGCACAGTTATTCTTTCTTGATCTGTCTTGATAGGGCTACAGACATCCTTGGGGAAAACCTTCCGCCTGTGTTGGTTTCAGCTTTCACAGCCTGAATCATAGGACAATCAGCCCAATAGGAGTTCCAGAAAAAGAATGAAAGAGAGAAGGGGAGGGGTTACCCTTAGTCCAGATCTCCCACCTTTGGGCAGGACAAAACCAAAGTCAACTGAGACCCTTAGAAAAGGTCTTTGGCAGCCCCTCGGCCTGTGTTCCACGGCCTGGCAGCAGCCAAGGGGTATTCACGGTTAACCAGCTCAATGCAATAGCATCTCTCTAGTGTTTCTTAATGAAGGTGAACTTAATAAAAGCAAACACATGCTGATTGTTGATATATTTGACTCCCCTTAGCCTTCTCTGCTCTCAGCCTCATAATCCCACTGCCTTTAACTCTCAGGGCCTCGTCGTTGGGCACATGCTATTTATTTAACGTGTTGATGCCAGTGTTAGAGAAATAGTGCATCGCTGAGGCCTGGAAGAGCAGCTTCCCCCGGGCAAGCCCAGAAAAGGAGAGACGCTATTGACCAGCTAAAGCACTTTAGCCAGAAGCATTCGTACCTGCACTCGTACTGAGAAGCCTCCCGTGAAATCCTGACCGAGTGTTCCCCGACCTTAAGCTCCTCTGCAGTGAAAGCAAAAAATAAATGATTGCTTAGAAGAGGGGCTGGGAAGCTCTAATCCGCTGGCATTCGCTAACAGATCAAAAGGAGATTGGCTGGAATTTATGGCCACGCATCTAGACTCATTTGTAATTTCGACTGGGATTTGGTTTTCCTAAAAATACCTGTTTAGGTCATTCTCAAGGAGATGTTCACTTGTTCAGCTATTTCCTCATGGTGGGAAGAAACTCAGGATTCAGCCCCTGGTTGTCTCTCTAGAGCAGCGCAGCCCGGAGAACTTCCTGCGAGGGAGGGAAGGTCCCGTCTGCGCCGGCCAGTACGGTAGCCACTAGCCACACGGGCCACCAGCTGCTGAGCCCTTGAGATGTGGCTTGTGTGACTGAGGAGCCGAAGTTTTCTTTGCATATAATTTAGATTATAAATTAATGTAATTTGGACAGCGTAGGTCTGGAGGGGCCCTTGCAACACAGGATGGTTCTGGAAGCTGAGCATCTTTGCAGACCGTGGCCTTGCCCTCCTTGCCTGGGAAGGGCTCTTGGCACTTGGTGTCTGGTCTGTTTGCAGACTTCACGGAGCCGAAGGGTGCGCCAGGCAACGCTGCACACCGTGCGGCAGGCAGGTCACACTCTGGCAGTTGCCTGGATAAACAGCCCTTGTCTCCTGTCTCTTTCAAGTCCGGAGCCTGGTGGGAGCAGTTTTCCATGACTCTTAGTAGCTGAGAACAGAGCCCGGGAGAAGATGAGTCACAGACACGTCTAGAATGCAGACATCTCTAGGGTTGGAGCAAAGACCTAGAACCACAGTTTTGAGAACCCGGCCAGCCTCCCTGAAATAGGACCGCAAATCCAATTCTCTTGTTGGCAAATCCAAATTCTCTTGTTGATTTCTGTATTTTGCTCCCACAATGGAAAGCTGATCTGCAAGAGAGGTGGCCATCCAGGCAGAAGGCTTGCTTTTTTTTTTTTTTTTTTACTTCAGTGACAAGAGATAATTACTGCTGGATTGATCAGGTGTCCAGAGTATTGGAGCAAATAAATTGTGCAGTGGCCAGTGCAGGAGGGGCCCGGCTGCTAATGGAAGCGGTGGCTGGGTCATCCCGCTGTAATGTGGCTTGATGGAGCGGCGTGTGGGTCTGCTGTAATGTGCTATTGATATGCAGCCAGCCAATTTCCCCCGTGCGGCTGGGGCCGGGAGCCGTTCGAGCAGAGCTGGGCTGCACGGCAGTAAATGAAGAGGAAAATTGAAGTAATGTTGTATTATAAATTTATGATTTCATCTGCCTGACCTAGAGGATGTTCGGCAATGGGGGGTAGAGATAAGATCCCCCGCTCTGGCACAGGCTGAATTCTCATCTCCATTGTTCAGGGGACAATGATATTGACGTGTCCAGGAAGAGTGGGGTGACGCCCAAAGTTGGGGTGAACTTGACCACGCTTTTCTTCTTTCTTGTCGAAGACCTGTGGGAAGGCCAGGAAGAAAGTAGATATGACTGCCCCCTTACTGGCGGGGAGGGACCGGGCGGTCCCCCATCTCCCACCTTCTCTGAAGGAGGCTGACACACGGGCTTATTCTTTTGCTGTCAGATTAACACTAAAATATTTAAGACCCCCGGCTCTGAAGTTAGAAGCAAAGGAGCCATTTTTCATCAGCAAGGCCCCTAGGCAGCAGTGATTTGGCTGTTTGCATATAATCCGTTTATCAATATTGTTGAAATAATGGTATAAGAAATCTAGTACTGAAAGATCTGATTTGATAGCAGGTGATTAATTTGGAGGAGAATTGAGCTGCCCAGCCATGGAATAAATACCACGGAAGGAGCCAGTGTGTGCGTGTGTCCCTTTAAGGACTCTGAGTCCTGGCCTTGGCCCCTTTTCCTCTCTTTCCCCACGGGGTGTCTGAGCTCTGCACCCCACTGGGCTCCTGCTCCGCACTTACTGGTCACTGCAAAGCTGCTAGGTCACTGCCTGCCTGGCAGCCTCCTGCCAACCAGACTCCAAGTGCTGGGAACGACACTCAGGGAGGAACACTCACTCGGGAGGGCAGGACCCTGTGAGGGAGAGACAGTTGCGCGGGCCAGCGAGTGAGTCCGGTGGCTGCGGATTTGGCATGGCTCTGGCTGAAGCGAGGAGGAGGAGCCGCAGCCGGACTCCCTCGGGACTGTGGACACAGCAGCGAGACTTTCTGCAGGTGGTGAGACTCAGGCTCCAGGACGAGAGGGAAGACCCTTGCCTTAGTTGGGTCAGGATGTTATAACAAAATCCCATGGGCTGGGCACCAACAACAAACATTTATTTCTCAGAGTTCTGGAGGCTGGGAAATCAAGAGCAAGGCACTAGAAGATTCCATCTCTGGCAAGGGCCCCCTTCCTCATAGATGGCGCCTTCTCACTGTGTCCTCACCTGTTAGAGCGGTGAGGGTCTCTCTGGGGCTCTTTTGTAAGGCCCCCTCCCAAGGGCCCTCCTCCTGTAGACCATCATCATCTTGGCGGTTAGGATTTCCACGTATGAATTTGGGCGGTACACAAACATTTAGACCATAGCAACCCCCAAGGCCATGGTTTGGGGCCAGAGGCAGGACTTGAATCCAGGTCTCCTGGCCAGTGAACTTCTGATCTGGGTCTGACGGTAGATCCACTGACCACAGGCTGAAGGTACAAAACCAGCATCCGCAGGGAGGTGAGGAACTGTGGGCCCCGTGCCTGGACCTCTGAGACATGACAGCCCTGGGTAGGCACAAGCCAGCATGCAGGCGAGGGGGACCCACCTGCAGGGTCAGAAAGTGGTTGGTGTGGCATGCGAGACTCCACTAGGGAGTGGGTGATGAGAGCCCAGAGCCGTGTTAGGGGTGCGTGTTCAGGGGTTGTGTAGAAGTGCAGGGACACAAGTGGAAAGTGGTCACTGCTGTCCTCACTGGAGAGCCCAGAGACTGTCGCGAATCCATCCATCAAAATAATTTTCTGCCAGCGTGTTGGTGGCAAACGATAGAAACAACTCTGTTTGCTAGAGGTAGCAAAGGAGATGACTGGAAGGAGCCTGGGCAGTGCACAGAATGGACAGGAAGGCTGGACTGTCGAGCAGGACTCAGATAACAGGCAGGAACTGGGGGAGCTGGGTGGTCAGAGCCCAGCCCTAGCCAGGGGGACAACCCAGGATGACCTGATCAGTGGCCACTGTCAGGTGCTGGACTCTGCTGCTGATGCCAGAATAAACTCTGGGCCACCTCCTGCTCTTCCGCCACACTGGCTCCAGAGGCAGACCCTGAGGAAGGCTCCCACTGGCCGAGCCTGGGTTCACCGGCCTGCCTCCCAGCTGCCACGCCCAGGAAGAGCAGGAGGGAGGCCTTTTCCGCTTCCATGGTGGAGCCGGCCCCTCCCCATGGCTCACACCCAAGGAGCGGGGTTGAGGTGCTAGACAGCCAAAAAACAATGGCTGACATTCACCTTGAGGTCAAAGCAAAAGTCAAGCTCTTGGTGGCTATAAGGTGGCCATGGTGGATGTGCTGAGGTCTCCCGTTCGTGGAGGGTAGGACTAGAAGGGAGCCATGGATCTCCCGTGGCCAGGGAAGTGTCAGTCCAAGAAGGCCGCGTCAGCCTTTGTTGCAGCCTGAATCAAGAGGCAGGCACATAAAGAGGGAAATAGCTTGAGTGAGCATGACGACCTCACTGGGGCTTTAGCGACAGATCGGAGAAGTTCACACCAACACCAGGACTTGGTAGCAGAGCTTTTCTTCATGGTGGGCGTCTTAACACACCCAGCCCCTCAACCATTCTCCAGGGTCTCTCAAAGATACAGGCACCTCTGTAGCACATCCATGCTAGGACGGGGGCCTCAGGGACCCGCTGCCCCCGGGGCTGTGGTTTTTCCAGAGGTCCCGGGTCAGCCCTGAGTTTGGCCACTGAACCGAGACCTGCCCCCAGGAGCCCATGCTCCGTCTGGTGCCGGCCCTGTTGTCCACTGTCTCGGGAGGAGGCATTACAAGGACTTTAATCTCCTACTGTCAACAGCATTAAGGTAAAGTGCATGCAGGGTAAGCTCTCCAAATGTCAGAGCCAGGCGCGGGCCCTGTGTCTGGTGCTAATACATGGCATTTACTCTGCAGGTTCAAGAAAGTGCATGGGCTTTGGGGGGCCTGCCTGCCCAAATTCGGGTAAATTACCAGCAGTTGACAGCAGCGCCCCCAGCCACAGGAGAGAGGTGACCTGGGCCCCTGGTAAAGACCCTCACGGGAGACAAATCATTTTGTGAAGGAAAATAACTCATTGCCACCCTCCTTGAGATTTTACACCAGAGCTGAGGCAGCTGTACTAATGGGACTCTGATCTTTCTCTCTGTGTTCAAGGCTACCCCAACTTTGTGGCAACCTATGGCCGAGGCTACCCCGGATTTGCTCCTAGCTATGGCTATCAGTTCCCAGGTGAGTGGCTTGGTCTCCCGGGGCTTTGGAAACAGGGGAGGTGAGCCGCGTTTGCCGGGAGGCGGGAGGGCCTCCCCACAGCTCCTACATGCATCCATTTGAGAAACGACCTGTATGTGCAAAATTTCAAATCCACTGAAGCCTGAGGTCAGGATGCAGCTCAGAGTTCCTGATTAACCGCAGTCTTTCACTGGCGCTGGGTATCGGAGAGCAGCGACTTTTAAAGGGAAAGGAAAGGAACCGAGGCAGGCTCCCTCCCTCTGCTCACCTTCTTATTCTGAAGCCTGTTCCAGGTTCTGCCCCCTTGGTCCTGAGCTCTAGACCCAGGGTTTTCTCGCACTCTCTTCCCTGCCCCACGCCCCGCACCCTGCGTCCACGTGCATGATGTCTGAGTCTCCCCGACCAACCTCCCTCCCTCCCTGCCTCCTCCCCTCCTCCCTCTCGGTCCTGACTGCTCTGGCCTTCGTGCCCCTGTGGTGTGTGTTGGTGCTGTGCTGCCGGGGTTGAGGTTTGCTGTCCGTCCTGCGTGGGGCTGTTTAGATTCCCTTTTCCCGCTGTGTGGGCGTCAGAGGCAGGAGGCAGAGCCCACGGTGATGTCTGCCACATGCGGGTTCTCCAGCTCCAGCTCCGGGGTAGCGGGCAGGCCTGGGTCCCCCCCAGGGCAGCAGCAAGGGGACATGTGGTCTTGTAGAGACGTGGGGAGGGGTGATGAAGAAAGTGATATTTCTTGGGGCTTTGTGCATCCCTGGAGGGGGTCAGCCAGCCTGTCCCAAGCTTGGGAGTATAGATGAAAATATATTGGGTTGCTGAGGGGTGTTGGTGTGCAGGGGACAGCCGGGGTTTCTAAAGAAGGTGCTAGCAACAGAGTCCTGTCCTCTTCGGGTCCTCGGCTGAGGGAGGAGGCTCCGCGAGGGAGCTGGGCTGCCAGAGTGTCGCTCCTGGTTGGTCATCGTGCCTAGACTGGGAGGCCCGGGAGTGCCAGGGGCTGAGATGAATGAGGGAGCAAAGGGAGGATGGTGCTCTGGGGCCAATGACATGAGGGCGGGGTGCGGGACTCAGGCAGAGCTTTGGGGAGGGGAAGGTGTGTTGGGGAGGCGCTTAGAGCCATGCCCTGTGGTACACAGATCCCTCGAGCAGCGATGGAAGCCCCTGGCTCTTGGCCTGGCTCTGACACCAGCTGGCCAAGTGGCCACAGCCAGGTCACCCAACTTGTCAGGCCTCACTTCTCTCTTCTGTAGACGGGAGGTCTACGGGGCTCCCTGTGTGGGTCAGAGGGGGAAGGGAAGGCAGGTACAGCAGCAGGAGTTAGAGATGGAGGAGTGCGAGTGTCCCCAGGGCTAAGGTGGTTGTCCCTCTGGGAGGGGCCCTCTGCAGGGCTCCCGAGCTACACAGGCAGCACTGTAGAGAAGCCAGTTCTCGGACAGGCACTGTCATTAGACTGTCCCCACCTACAGGTGGAGACCACCAGGCACAGAGAGGTAGAAAACCCTTGCAAGGGCTCCCAGCAAGCAGGGGCAGGCCAGGACTTGGTCGAGCTGGTCCGGGTCTAACTGCCACACTCCACCATCTCCCTGGCAGCCATTGGCCAGGGACCGTAACAGGAGCCACATGTAGCGTTAAAACTTAGATTTTAATTAATTAAAATGAAGTAAAAAGAAAAATCCATTCCCTTAGTAACACTGGCCACATTTCAAGTACTCAGTAGCCACGTGTGGCTAGTGGCTGCTGTCTGTCGGCAGAGTGTAGGACATGTCCATCACCATGGGAAGTTCTGTGGCATGGCACTGTCCTGGAGCTTAAAGGAACAGGTGTGTTTGGTGGGGTGCGTGGGTCACACATGCATGCGTGTGTGCACCGCCCCTCCCCCCGAGAGACCCGTGGTGGGGTCAGCACCCTGGTGCTCCGTTCCCTCCTGTCCTGCTCAGCCCAGGAGTTCCTCTCGTCCCCCCCAGGGGTGACAGGTGCACAGGCTCAGGCGCGTCAGCCCACTGAGAGCGCCACACTGGCCCGTGCGCCTGGCCCCGCCTCCCTGCGTGATCCCGTCATTGCCCCTCAGTGTGGTGCTGGTCCCAAGAGGGCAGACTTGTGGGATCATAACATGGAATCGTTTTGAGGGCAGCAAAGTAGGCCCCGGCCCTGGTGAGCCGGCTCAGGAAACATCTGGTAGGACTCTGTCTCCCTAACCTGCAGCCCTGGCTCTGCCCCAGATGGACGGACATGCAAGAATGATGAAACTGAGGCTGGGCAGAAGGAAGTGGGGCCCCCGGGGTGCCAGCCCTTTCACCAAAAACCAAGGCTTTGGGGACTGGGGGTTCAGCTTTGGGGGGCAGTGGATGGTGTTGGGGGTGGAGTGATTATGCCCAGGGCACAGCCGTTGTCACTGTCATCAGCTCCTGCAGCTGATGCAATAAGCCGGGTTTGGATGGGACAGAGATGGGATGTTAAAACGTACAGACAGCGGCTCCCTGAGCCGTGGGAGTTAGCTGCTCTGTTCCCCCTCAGCCTCCAAACTTTCCACCTCCCCATCCTTCCTGTGTACACCACGGAAGCCTCTTGTTCTCTTGACAGATGGCCAGAAAGGGGCCACTAGTGGCTCCTGGGGCGGGTAAGGGTGTGAGGGGCCCCGGGCCGGCCTCGCCGCCCACCTTCTGAACAAGGAGCCATGCTGGGGTCGGAGTCCCTCCCTCTCCTGACCCAGCCCGCGAAGGAGCTGCCCTCAGGGAGTGTCAGCCCGTCTGCTCGGCCCAGGTGCCTCACCAGGCAGCCAGTGGCACTGGACACAAAGCCCAGGGAGGCCCATGTGCCGTCCTGGCCAAGAGCTCAGGGACTGGCTGCTGCCCTCCAGAACCAAACTTGGCCCCTCCGGGATCCTTGGCCTCAGGGGCAGGACCACTGGGCAGGGGGGCACTGGAGTGCTCTGACCAGTGTTTCGCACCTCGTGCTACTCAGTGTCCCCAGTGGACCTGGCTGAGGCAGCTGAGCACAGGGGGGGACCCAGAGGTGGGGTAGCCCAGCCCTCTCCCCCTGCCAGGTGGGCCTTGCTGGCCCCCACCATTCCCTGGGGTCCTGTAACCTTGTCACATCACCGACTGTCCTGATGTTTTTCTCTGTGGTCTTTCTTTTCAGTGTCCCCACTATGCACCCACGTCACCCACTTCCCACCCCCAGCCCCTCTTCCACTGTGTGTGGACCCCATACCCCTTGTAGCCCCTTCCTGAGCCCTCCCTAGCTGGTGAGCGGGACAGCTAGCTGAGAGGGACGAGGGCCCGCCCGGGCCCCAGAGGGTTCCTGCTTCTCCATCCTGTCTTCACTCACAGGCCAGGTGGCCGGGGCCCGCCTTGGGGAAGACGCATCCCTTTGTGCAGGGTCCCCCTTTCCACCCGTGTTCGCCCTTCCTGTGAACACCCGTCTCCCTCACCTAGCTAGGGTCCCGATGCACTCTTAGCAGAGCCTCACTTCATCCGTGTGCCGTGGGGTTGCCGCAGCCTTCTCGGGCCACCCGGGGAGTGTCAGGCAGTGCCTGCCTCTGCTACCCTTCGGGATTCTGTGAGAATACATGTGATGTTCAAGAGAGAGGGCCAGGCGGCTTTGGATAATTATTGAAGTGGGGAGCAGTTCTTTCCCAGCAGGGCTGGGTGGTGACCAGCCGCTCGGGGAACAGCTCCTTCTTCCCACGCTCAGGTGTCCGCCCGCCCAGTATTCGGATCAGTACCCGGATCGGGGTCCAGTCCGGAATGAGTACGATCGCCACCAGTGGCCTCCCTGCTTCCTCTCTTTTCCCCCCTCTGGACTCCTCATTTCAGTTTAATCTGTTAATTTCTGTTCTTATTTCACTTTGCAGACTATTTGCCGATTTCACAAGACATAATTTTTATCAACTAGCTCTTAAGAGAGGCATAACAAATTGGGGTTTGCTACCATTTCTAGAGAGGACATGTCCTGGCCTGGGCCACCCCGCCGCTGTCAGTGCCACTGAGACTCTGTCCTAGCTGCCTGTTTGAATGAACGTTCTTGTTTCTGTTTTTAATTCTTGGAAAAGACTCGTGGCCTCATTGCTTCACTCAATTTTTAAAAAAAAAAAAAATTATTTTCCGGTACCCCCCCCCATTTTGCTTCTTGTACACATTGTGACCATACCCCCCCACCCCAACTTCCCCAGAATGTAACGGGGCCAGAGGGAAACTTCTCACAAACTTCATAGAGCCTCACAGGGCAACCTAGGAAGAAACTATCAAAGTATTTCAAATGACCGAACAGGCTTGCTGGGGCATTTCCTAGGGGTGTGAGCTTTTGAGTGCTGGTGGCCAGGAGGTGGGGCGGGGGGGGGGCCGCGGGGGCGGTTTGCAAGATTTGTCACTTACTTAGAGCACTTATGTTTTATTGTGGAAAGTAGAAAAAGTGAACACACACACACACAGACTGTTCTATAAAATGTGAAAACCTTAATCTGGAAAAGCAACTGTATAAGCACTACCTGATTGTTCTTTTGTCTTTTGGGGCCAGCCTCTCAGTGGCTGTTCCCATAATAATAAGCACATCTGTCTTTAAGAAGGGACAGCAGAGTCACCAAGGTGCTGCCACATGTCAGGCACCGTGGGCACTGACCCAGGCTGGGCCCCACATTCCCCAGCCTCCCCTCCCTGTCCATGCTGGCGTGGCCTTGCCCGCTGGCACCACTGGGGTAGGAGGCATAGGACACAGAGGGCATGTCCTGACCAGGCATCATCTCAGGGCTGGGTCTCCTGATGGTCACCTCCAGAAGGATCTTTTCCCACGATCCTGACTCCCTCCACTTCCCTGTTTGAAATACCCACACCCTCTTGGATTAATGATGCACGGCTCAGCTGGACCCTCTAGAGTCACCCCTTTGTCCGTGCTCATAGTTTGTGAGAAGTGACCCGTGTGCTTCCATGTGATGCGTTTGATGTGAGCAAATCCATGCATTTGAATGTCATTGTCCTTGAGACCCAACATGTGCAGCTTGGCTCATCTCATTAAAG